TGGGGCGCAGCTTCAGCCTGGGCGACCTCAGCCACTCGCCGCAGACGGCCCAGAGAGTGGAGAGGATCGTCAGGGAGGTGAAGAGGAGGAAGGGCCTGTCAGAGGTGCCCGAGAGGGACAAGAAGATCGCGGCGCTGATGATCGCCAAGCACCAGGAGGCCAACCTCCTGCGGGAGCAGCGGCAGGCGGCCCACCTGCAGTGGGACAGCCAGCGGCGCCTGGCGGAGCAGCGGAAGGAGCAGGAGGAGAAGGAGAAGCAGAGGGCCCTCCTGCAGGGCCAGCGGATGTGGGAGAGCCAGGTGGAGAAGCGGCGGGGGGGGCTGAGCCAGGAGCAGGAGGAGGCCGCCCTGCTGAAGCAGAGGCAGCGCCTGGTGTGTGAGGAGAGGTGGCGGGAGCAAGCAGAGAAGCAGGAGAGGCTGCGGAGGGAGAGGCTGGAGAGGGCCGTCCAGGAGGACAAGCAGAAGAAGCTCCATCAAGAGCACAACCTGAAGGCCAAGGAGGAGGGCAAGAAGGAGCACCGGCAGCGAGAGGAGCAGCTCCTGCAAGAGAAGCTGTCCACGGCCGCGCAGAAGAGGCTGAAGAAGGAGGTGCAGCTGCAGAAGGAGAAGAAACTGCTCAACCAAGCAGAGAAGCTGAAGCACGAGGCCTTGCTCAAGGAACTGGCCAAGCAAGAGGCAGAAGAGAAGGAAATGTTGAAGGCCTCCTTGGAGATGAGTTTGACCAAGGCTCAGGAGAACTATGAGCAGCTAGTGGAAAAGAGGAACCAGGAGCTGAGGGAGAAGGCCAGGCGGGAGGACATGCAGATCCAGAGAGCCAAACTGGCAGCAGAGAAGAAGGAAAGAGAACAGAAGGAGCACTTGGAGGCCCTGGCGAGAGAGACGGAGAGAAAGCTCCAGCATGCTGCCCAGGTGGCTGAAGAGGTTGTCCAAGAAAAAGCCCGCAAGGTGGTCTTGAGCCGTCTGGAGAAGGAGAAAGTGCAGAAGATGAACAAGCAAAAGGTGGAACAGTATGAGGACTTAAGGCGCAGGGAGATCCTCCTCTCTATAGAGAGGAAACTGGAGAGGAGCGAGCAGATCTTCAAGGAGAAAAAGACTGTCTTAGAAAACGCCAGGTCTGTCGCTCGGGCATCCTTCCATGTCCGGGAAAAGGTACGGGAGGAGACGAACATGCGCACCTTTGACAAGATGGCCTTGGAAGCAGAACTGCATGCCCACCTGAATAAGAAATGAAAGACCTTGTCGTGGATGAGTGGGGATACGTCACCGGTTGTCCATCATAATGCATCAGAAAGCTCCTCCGCATTAATATTTAAAAAACAACAACAACCAACCACCACCCTAGTTTCTTATTTTGGGGGAGCAGGGTACCGCACAAAAACGTGGCAGCTATTTCACATACTTTTAAAAATATGTTTTTGTTCTGGGCGTGTTTTAAGGACTGACCTCAGTCATCTTTACAGAGGGGAAGCGAGTTTTTGTGTCCTCCACCCCACAAGCACACGCATTTTCTCAGAGAGGGCTGCAGAAGAAGTCTGCTTGAAGCCTGTGAGTTACCGATTGCTCTACACCGGAGCTGACTATAGCTGCGCTCTTTTCGGTTGGAAACGCAGACAACAGAGACGCCTGACTACTGGAACCTACTGACTAAGAACCAAAACCACCCCGGCTGATTCTGGCTTGAGTGACAGGCAGCTTGGTTTAAGTTACGGGACTGCGTTTTCAAAGCCACTGCACTTCCACACTGAAGGTGAGGAGGGCTGGAGTACAGAACACCGTATGCCCCTGGGTGTCCCTCGCCCGCCGCTGGTACCGAGCAAGAGAAAGCACAGATCAAGACTTCCTAACACCACGTAAGTAGACGTTATGATCAGAGCTGGGCAGAAGCTGTTGGAAGTGCTCACAAACATGATTTCACTTGGGCTGTTTGCAACGGTTGCCCGACCCAGGTATCCTCACCTCACCTCCTCTTTTCAAAGTTTCTCTTACAAACGCCTGTACAATTTCTTTTCTTCCGGAGGAGGGGGAGAAGGAGAGAAGTTTGTGGGCAATCCACAAACTGATGGGCGCCCACACAACCCACTGGTTCATTAAGATATAAAAATGAATGAACCTGTGGAAGCTGGCCTTTGTGGCAAAGATGTTTGTAAATGGAAATCTGCAAACAGATTGCAGAGACAAATTGCCACCCTCGGGAATTCTCAAAACTTGAGGAGGCTCTCAGCAGCCTTGTCCAACTTGGCCTGCCTTGAGCAGGAGGTTGGACCAGGCGTCCTCCAGAGATGCCTGCCAACCTCATGGTTCTATGAGCTGCATACAATGAGACATTCACCCAGCTCTTACCATCGTCTACTGAGCAGGGCATCATTTACCTGTCCACTGGTGCTAACAGTTGTATTCTTACACAGGGCCCAAGAAGGAGTAGATGCACAAAATAAGGTACATTACAGATTCTCTTCCATGAGGATCATGGCCTTTTTTATAACTCTCATTCAATACCGCTTAGAAGGAACTGAGTCCTTCTGCAGTTAATGCGCTCGAAATGCGAAAAGCCTACCTGCGCCCCATGCACAGCATTCAAATAAGACAGTGTTCTGCTCCAGGTTTCCATGCTTACTCTCTGCTGGGTTGCAGTTACGGGCACACGTCCAAAACAGGCACGTTCTGCTGGTTTTTCCCGGCTCCGGGCAGCGCCAGCTCTCTGTTCCACCATCCATGACGCCGTGCTGGGTTGCTGTGGTGATGGCATCAAACCTGGAGCACGGGGGAGAAGCAGCAAGAACAGCCAGGATCTCATTTCCTTGCGGATGTTTCTAACGCAACAACACAGTAGAAAAGAAAACCAGAAGAAGGTTGACGTATGGCACAGACATGCAGTACTGCATGCATCCGTTGCTTACCAGAATTTCCCAGGAGGCGACAGCAGGTCAAAAACCTCTTTAGAAGGCTCTAAGGAAGGTGGTAACTGAACAGCAACAACAACAGTGAACCAAGCACACCCTGGTGCCCTGCAAGGCTGGAGACATTATGCAAACAGTGTTGAGAATGAAGCAAGCTGGGATTTGCTTTGATTGTGATGGAACTTGCTCTTTGTTGAATCACGGTGCAATTGGTGCTGTGGAGGGCAGGCAGCATGAAAGTAGGAATTGGGGCACCTGAGCAATGTTTGTTCCATCAGTCATTGGCTTGCTGCGGAACACCAGGCAAGTCCTCAGAGACTGGGCTTGCTCCTATTAATATAAACGAAAGCAGAGTCGGGATTACTGGGACTCGCAGGAAATGGTAACACTTGACTTGGCAAAACGGTTAAAAGACTTTGGGCAAATGATGCTAACAAAGCACAAAGTACTATTTTATTATTTATTTATTTATTTATTTGAGATTAAAGTAAAACATACCCATTGATGAAAAGCACTACTTAACACCAAAATGGGAAGGACAGCGGTGTTACTGTTTCCAGCTAGGATTCTGTCCCCTCACCCTCGTCCTCAAAACGGCAATCAGTTTGAACAGTGAAACCAACCCTGCTGTAACACCGGACAAGGTCCTTGATAAAACACAGTCGTCTTCACGCGCTGTTCATACCGCAGTGGTCCATGCGTAGCTGCAAAGACCTAGAAAAGAGATGCCCAGTGGCCCAAGTCCAACCTGCACAAACCTTTCCTTGCTCCCTGGCAGCACCGGAGTTGGGGTAAAAGCTGCCGTGACTCCACTGTAGCCAACATCTCGTCTTGTTGGTAGCCCTTGGGGCTGCAGAGAAGCCCTCACATCCATGCTGGCAGGCTTCTTGCTCCCTGTGGCATCGCACTGGGGTTGAAGTTCACTGCTTGAGCCATTTAGCAGAGACCAAATGGGGAGAGCTGGGGAACAGCGGAAAGAAGGCAAAATGTGGTGGGCAAATGAGCGGACACAGTCTCTAACTGGAACAGCCATTTTTCCCTAAATGTCTACTGCAATCTACCTGAAGGCTTTGTCCAAACCTCCCTCTGACGGGGCATTTCCAGTGTAGGCTGAGAACGCTTTACAGCCCGGGAAACACGTCCTGGCCACTGACTATAATTACACCTGGGGTCCATCTCCTGCTGCTGACTGAGTCTGACACCTTGGGCTACAGCTGAAATAATCAAAACACACCTACGTGGTGGTAACTGGATTGGCAAACTACTGTTCCTATACCGTGCAGTGTGCAGCTCAAGTTTTGAATGTGCAATCTAAGAAAAAAATATTTTTTTTCAAAAGACATTAATCTGTGTATGGGTATTTTTTCTTTTCTGTAGTGGTTCCAGTCCAAAGTCTGTGAAAGTCAATGGAGTTTATCAGTTGTTTTAAACTGCAGCATGGAAAAGTAAGTCAGCAAGCTGGGCGGAGGCATGAGAGGTATTTCTTGGGTCTGCTTATGCTTCTGTTTATTTGAGAAGGAGTTTTACTGCTGGATTTCTTTGGGAACAGAAATTAAGCCCTGGGACACATGTAAAACATACGGCCCTTTTAGATGAGGCATATTTGGTCATTTTGATACTGAGCTACAGGCCAGGGAGAACTAAAAATCAAAGCAAGCAACACTTTACCTCACAGCTCAGAAGTAGATCACGGCTTATTTAGAGCAGAGGAGCAGCTGATGACATTTGGTTAGGTTCTGCAGAAAGATAACTTAGGTTGGTTCCCTCCTGGGATTAGAAAACACATTTTAGGCTATTGCTGTATTGTAAGGTTACAAAAAAGACTTTGCTTCTAGGCCATTTGCGTGCTTGCCGCAGAATGACCACTAGACCTTGAAATACCTGCACTTTAAAAGCAATAGCAACAAAAGGACAATTACTGGGAAACTTCTGTGACTGCTAAATACCTCTTAGATCCAGCTGGCATCAAATTCCCACACTGCAGTTCCTAAACACTTGGGAGTCTTAATTCCAGGTTTCATGCTGGATCCTATAGATCTAATGGATCAACCCAAAATCTGAATCCAATGCCACTAACCATTCAAATCTTAAGCCAAACACTGACACGTGGACGCACCTCTAACCCCACTTGAAAACCACTGCGCTGCTTACTGCTGCCCATGGACTGCGACTACTGCTAGAAGTTGACCTGCTAGAAACCACTCTGCATGTTCACAGGGTTTCTGAAGTTGAGATATTGAAACATTAGGGAGAAAGCTTCCAATATCATTTAAATGTTCTAAAAAGAATTACAGGACCAAGTCCTGGGATTCATTTTCAGGTAAAAATTCGCATCATTGTACACGCATGTTTTGCATAGTGAGACAACACGATCAAGCATACGGTATCGGAAAAGTGTCTGTCACGCTGTTGGCTATGGCAGAAGATGACAAGCCATTTCAGAGGCCCCAGAACTGTGCAGCCTGGTTTCCTTGGGCAGGTGCCCTGTGATTCTCATTTCAGTGAAACCAAGGCTGCAGGGTGAGTTAATCTTGTATTAAACATCACAGAACTCAGACGTGGGGGAGAACCATTGCTAAAGAGCAGTTTCTTTTGCCTGAGCTCTGGATGAATCTTTCAGACATTTTGAGTGTTCACAGACTCTCTTGTTTATGTATGTGGATTGTCTACTTTTTAACAACATCTGGGCTAAAGCTGGAGCCCTTCAGTGCCAGTGAGAGTGCCAACAATCTCCTCTGCATGATGCCTCTTCACACGAAATTAATCACTAAAACACGATAGTTCTGTCAAGGTTGAATTTGGCAGACACATTCAAAAGCTGTTAGGAGGAGCAGCTGCACCACCACTAGTTAATATTTTACAAGCTATTTTTTAACCCAGTTTATCATAAATTCTTTCACTGCATGGGTAAGAGAGATGTGAGGATTGGCTTTCCCACCTCGGTTACCTACTGTGTTTCTCTTAGGATGCTTATGGAGCTCCAGGCTCATTCTGTGCTAAAATTTCTTCTGATACCAGGGGAATTCTGTTCACTAAACAAATGCTGAATATGCAGTGCACACTGCTCTGAGAGGGGACTTATTTTGGTGTGTGTATCTTTACTAAGCCAAGCCTGGACAGGGAGACATGGGAAACAGAATTTGCAATATAAAGTCAAACAAGCACTAGTTTTTCACAAGTTCTGCTAAGGACAGGCCAGAGCCACCTCTGCTAGCTGTCGTCAGGGGAGTGACTGCTTCAGGGAAGTGACATTTTCTGCTCCCTCTCTGACCTCAAAGCGCACCAGGCTGATCGCATCCTACCTGAGAATGGCTTCTCATCACCACCAGTTGT